AACGTGCCTTGAGGACCATAAAATGCTCCCCCAGATGGGCAGGGTTAACGTGGCTATCACCTTCACGCCTCTCACCTCCATCCCCATTAGAAGATGCTCAGTGAGCTCGAACTGTCATTTGGCCGCTATCATTCAGTAGCAGTGGATAACACTGGCCTCAGAGGGCTGTGCCTGGACACACCAGTCACGTGCTTGTCAAGCGGGTAGCACAGGCAAGAGAGGGTTAACCCAGAGAGGCCAGCTGGGCCCAGGGCTACGGGCCTCCTGCCATGGCAGGCCTTAGAATAATTAAAACTTGTCAGATTTCCTTTCCCTTTTTCTAACAACCATAAACACCTTTTTGGCGGGGGGCTCTGTCTGTGGGGATCAAACACCTGCATGAGGCTGAAAGAAAAATACCTGTTGACGCCAGGGATTCTCGCCACAAAGACAACGCCGTAGGAAGCTGGAATGTTTTGTTTTGGTTTTAGTTTTGGCACCGCACAGGCCAAGTAGATGATTTCTCCCTTTTCTTTATCCTTCATGTTGGCAAGGGGAGCGTTTTAGCAGGACTAAAGAGAGAGGCAGAAGGGAGCGTCCCTTTTTCTCTTGGGCTGCAAGCTCTGGGGCCAAACGCAATCAGAGGTCTGTGACATGTTCTGAATTTCAGGCTCAGCTAGAAGGCTGAGACCCACAGCTTCAGGGCCACGTCCTTTCTAGCTCACCCCTTCCTGAAGCATTGCCCCAGCCCCACTCCAGGCCACTTGGACCTAGTGAGGCCACCCTGAAGGTGGAAAGCTGGAGGCTGTGGCCTCAGGCAGCGGGAGCAGCCTGGATCAAGAAGAGTTGCAGAGGGCCACTTCACTAGGCTCTGAGTTGGTCTCCCCAGTAAACGATGCTGGGTCTCAGCCTGGGGAGTCAGGTGGCCCGAAGCTGCCGGGCACAGAGGCAGCAGCCCTGCCTGCCATGGCCAGATGGTGACACCTTTCCTGAATACACAGGGAGCTGAAGGTCAAGCCTTCCTGGCTGGAGGAGCAGTGCCAACAGGGCTTAAGGATTCCCACCCTCCTCGTACCCCCAACATGTTACTCTGAAGGAAAACCCTCTACTTGCAGGTCCCTGGGGGTGTCAGGAGCGACTGCACTTTCCCTGCAGTGAAAGCTGAGAGGAAGGGTGGACCCTGAGGGAGCTGCTAGGACCCTCTCTGGCCTTGGAAATAAGCCAAGATTCAGGCAGTCGCTCTCTGCCTTTGAGCTAACCTCCTAGGAGATAGGGTTGGACCGCCCATCCTTCCAGACCGTTGACAAGAACCTCGCTGGTTTCATCTACTGCTCTGGTATAAGCTCTTGATGGTCAGAGACCCGTTCAGGGCACAAACCCACGACTGACCCCGAACTCCCAGCCAATTGAGTGTGGCATCATGTGGGGCAAACAGCTACACAGCTGACTGAATCACAGATTTTTCATGTTTCCTTGGCCACATCAAGAGAAAAGACAAATTTGCACACGGGTCTGATAAATTGGTAGAGAGAGCCTGCCTGGGTATAGAGAAAACTTGACTCTGGGCTTAAAATAAAACAAAGGTTATTTGAAACCACTTTTGAAATCACTATTTTTAAAAAACAGGTTAATTTTTAATGACACCTTCAATGAGTTACTGGATGATGAAGAATTAGGGAAAACAATGACGTGAAGTTTAATGTTTTGACTGAGTCAAAACAGGAGCGTGGGCGTGTTGATCAAATGTTCAACTCTGTTTTCAAGTCAGTCAAAGGATTTTATAGGTCGCCTTTGTTACTCTTTAATCTCAGAAGCGGGCAGAACTGCACATTTCAGTTGGCCTGCCTGCTGGTCTGCATCTGGGCTGCTCTGACCTCAGACTTAAAGTCTTTTGAACTAATTCAGCTCTTGGACCATTCGGTGTGGGACGATGTGGCTTCATCCCCGGAGCCCACTGGCTGAGCCCAAGCCCAAAGGACAGTTACAGCAGGGACGGGGTTTAGGGCACAGGCTTGGAGACCCTTGGGGGTTCCCTCTGAGGTCCCTTCTTGGTTCTCTGACCCCAGTCTTGCCTGCCTTTCAGTCCTTGATTCTCAAAGTGTGGTCCGTGGACCAGCAGTACAGCAAGCACTACCTTGGCGCTTGTTGGAAATTTGGAATCAGGGACCCCATCCCAGACCTGTAGGATCAGAATCTTCATTTTAACAAGATCAGAATCTTCCCATTAGAGTTGGAGAGTCTTTGCTCTGAGAGTTTCTCTACCTGCAGCTGGAGGAGGCCTGCCCGATGGGGCCCTGTGGGAGGGACACCTCTCACCCCCTGCCTTTCTCCCCAAAGTTCTACTCTCACTGGTGAAGGCCGAGTTCACCACTTATTGGTCATATAATTCTAGGCAGGTCGTCTAACTCTACGGGCCTCAGTTTACTCATCTGTATAACGGAGACATAACAGCAATCGCAGAGGTCTGCTGTAGGAACAAAAGAGACCACAGCGTGAGGGCTGGACTCTCAATTTTGTTCCTCCCTCTGCCTCACCTATCGACTGCCAACATCTTTGTGAAGTCATGGAACAGAATCAACTGCCTTTGGAAGGTACTATGTGGTACAGTGGCTAAGAAGAGCCTGGGCGAGGCAACCAGACAGGCCACTGATCAAATTTCTACCCTCTCACTTATTGCTACATTCCGCTCTGAGCCTCAGTTTCCTCTTCTGTAAAATGGGGCAACGGGAAGGTGATGTGACACTCAGAAGAGCTAAGTCATGCATGTGAAACACCTGGCACACGGTAGTCACTCAACTGGTAACAAATCTTGATATTATTATTATTATTATGCTTATTACCCACCTTTGGTAGCACAGAGAAGTGGCATGGAAAGGGGGAAAATACGCAAATATATAAAGCATTATTAATAATGCCGATGTTCACTGTACTTATTTACAACAGCCTTAGGCAGCCACGTTAGTCCTGACGGTTAACGCTCCTCTCCCTGCCTGTGGAGTATGACTCCATATGTCACCCCTGGGTGCCCTTGGCCTGGTCCACCTTCCTCCCCTCAGCCAGTGCACTCCGGCCGGGGCACTTCACGCTGCTTGGCTTGCAATGGGCTTGGCAAGAAAAATGAGCACGGCCTGTAGGTCTACGGCAGTGGTTCTCAACCCAGGCTGTACTTTGAGAATAGCTTGAAAAACTACTGACGCCCGGGGCCCACCCCCAGATGTTGGTTTGACTGGTCTGGGGTGTGGTCTAGGATTTGGGGGTTTCAAGGCTTCCCAGGTAAGTGTAACATACAGCCAGGGTTGAGGGGCGGCTCTCATCCGGCGGACGTGGGGGACAACTTGAGAGAATGCCCTACTGGTTCACACCCAGGAAACTCCTCTGATTTCCACCCGCAACGGGGACCCATGCGGGTTGCTAACCTACTTAGAAAGTAAAAGCCTCCACTCCCAGAAGCAATCAAACCTCAAATGAACCCAATGCCAACTAATTGAATCCTTGATTGATGGGACTATTTTTTTGTTCCTCTTTATGAAAACAAATCAAAGCAGTGCAGCCTCAAGGATTTAAAGAGCAGCTTCGTGTCCATCCGTCCTCACCTCTTACATGCCCCGAGAGCACCCAGTGGCGATGGGGAGTCTGGAGACGCAGCGCGAATCCCCAGCGGCCGCGTCTTCTCTGCAAGCAACTAACACTCCAGTTACCAGGACAGACATAGTGGAGACGTGTTTTGAGAAACAGTCTCAACATCAAAGATTAAAACCAAAAAAGATGTCTGATTAATCAGATACTTGAGTCCCTGAGCCCTCCTGGCCCCAGTTCTTTACCTTAACTCACAAAGAATTCCAGGCCCCAAAGGGGATTTATTTTTCAGGATTCTGCCCAGCAAACCAGGCAGGCCTCTGCCTACCCTGTGGGACCAGGAGTTACTGGAGGCTCTGGAAGGCGGTTGGCCCTTGGTTGCTGGCTCACCTGTGGCCAGAGTGGCCCGACTGGGCAGCTGTGACCTGGGCCGCAGGTGACGGGCTGGGTGGGGCAGGAGTTGAAAGCACACGATTAGCGTCACACCTGGCTCTGCTGAGACACCACCATGCCCAGGACCAGTGATTCTCCCCTGGGCGACGGGCACACAGCTCTGCACGCCAACCCCCTTCTCATGTGCTGAGCGACGCCCCTGATGGGAGCCTGCCGTGCCCGTGGGCAGAAAAATGGTCGAGCTGCTGGCCCCAGCTCCCAACGCATGCCCAGTGCTCACACTTATTCCACCTGGATGCCCTCCCAGCTCTGACGTCTGGGCAGTTTCCTACTCAGCCTCCGAGCCTCAGCCCAAAGCCTTCACCCCCGCCAGGCCTGATCAGCCACGCTGCCCCTGGGCAGCTCCCTGTATACCCGTCAGTGTGGGCAGAGCGCTGCTGGGCTGAGCCCGAGCTACTTACAGCAGCGCCCGCGCTGCCCTGTGCTTGCCTCACGCGGTCCCGCTACCCAGAGCAGCGCCGTGGGGCAGGGGGTGGCTGCTGAATAAAGGGCCACAGGAGCGGCCAGCAGCTTGGGCAGGTGGCAGGGTGACAGGGATTCAGAGAGGAAGAGGGGCAGTCAGAGTCCAGGAAGGAGTGTATGGGACTCTGATGCCAGGAGTGGCGCTGGGGACACCTTCAAAACACAGGCTCAGGGGGACTGCCCTGGCGGTCCAGTGGTTAAGACGCCACACTTCCAATGCAGGGAGTGAGGCTTCCATCCCTGGTCGGGGTACTAAGATCCCACATGCTGCAAGGCGTGGCCAACAAACTAAAAATAGAAAACATGGGCTCAGGCTCTCCACAAGGACCTGTGGTTGGGGGCTGATGGGCACATGGACCACATATACCCACACAGTAATGAGGCCCAGCCTTGACTAAACAGGAAAATGTGCCGTTGGGAGGGGCAGAGATGGGGGAGAGACAGAGAGACAGGGGGTGGAGACAGAGGCAGAGACAGAGAGAGAATGGCATCTTTTCTGGGGCTTCCTGGAGGGACAGCCACTTACTCACCAGTTCCTTCCTGAGCCAGGCTATAGCTTCATCGATGCTCTCGAAGCCCTCCAGCCTGCCAGTGCACGGGGCCCCATCATCCTGGCTGGCCATCCCATGAGGCTGAGGATGCCGCCTGGGCGCTCCTGGGGGGCGCGAGGGCCCCTCTTCCACACAGGCCCGCTGCCCGGCCACCGGCCTCGGGAAGGGCCACGTCTGCTCCTCCAGCCTGGCCTGCCATTCCAGGTAGGAGGGCCTGCGGGTCTCCAGCCTCAGTTTCTCCGTGAGGGCCTTCAGGCTCCGGAGGTGGTCATCGGGAGGCGGGGCTGCGCCTGCCGGCCCTTCTTCCCCACTGGCTGTGTCTTCTCCTCGGATCTGGGGCACAGACATTCTAGAACCTGCCTGGGCAGCCAGACATGGGAGGTGGTGGAGGGCACCGTGGGAGTCTTGGTGGGTGGCAAGGTCGGGTCCTGCTCTGGAAGGGTCTCACCCAGCTGGGGCCGAGGGTCTCGAGGGCATCGCTAGGACGGGCGCAGCTCCCAGAGTCCAGAGGGAGGACGGCGAAGCTGCAGTGTCCACTGGAGCAGCTGCAGACAATCTGGGTTTAAGATGCCGTGGGCGCCATGCTTTGCAAGATGCAGGAACAGACAAGCGTTAGCAGGAATCTTTGGAGGCAGCTTTGCCAAGAAGATCTATCAGTGCTGGAGGTGAAGGCAGATTGAAGACCGGAGGGGATGCGGGACAGAGCCCTCTCCTCACAGGGAAGGGCAGGCGGTGAGAAGCTGCTGGCTGGTGTGAGGCCTGCAGGAAGGATTGGAACGATGTCAGTGCTGACCCCTCCCCTTGATGCGGCCTCAGAAGGCGACACTGAGGCTCAGAGAGGCTCAGACACGGGGCTGCTGACTGCTAGTTCAGGACTGGAAGAGAGGCTACTTCAACGCCCTAAGTCCATGCAAAAAAGTTAATCACAAAAGCGTCACTTTGTACAGTGTCTCACCATGTATGAAATGTTTCCACCTCTATTATCTCATTTACTCCTCACTGCAAGTCTGTAATTACTTCTTTTTGTCCCCATTTTACGCAGAGGCGCCTGAGTCTCAGAGGTTAAATGACTCACCCAAGAGCTCCCGCTGATTAGCAAGGACAGAGCCGGTCTCAGGCCTCTCTGAGCGCAGGCTGTCTGGAGGGGCGGAGGGGGTCCCCATGCAGACGCAGGTGAGCCTTGGGTCCAGGCACCCCCTGACCCCGCCCCGCCCCGCCCCGTCCACCACAACCCCGTCCTAGGCTCCAGCCCTTTGGGGCAAGCCCTCCTGCACACTCTCGGCTTCCTTCCCCAAGAACAGCACCTTATCTCTCAGCTCGTCAGAGGAGGAAGAAAGTAAACCTGCAGCAGCTGAGGGAGATTGTTAAACGGAGCGAGGCTGTGACTCGCCTTCTAGAAAGACGGTTCTCACATTCACCTAAAAGGCCCACACGGCAGCGCCTCCCTGGCCGGGGCTGCAGTATTCTGATCTGCTTTGGCCTTCCCACCCCCAGGGAGGAGGCGTGAGCCAGGCCCTTGCCCCATAATTTGGAGTCACAAGGCAGAGGAGTAGCTCTGAGCCAGAATTAGGCCCCCGGCTCCCAGCCTCCATATCCCACGGTGTCTGGCAGGTGGAGATGGGCCATCAGAGTAGGAGACATTTGACTTGGGCCAAGGAGAGGAGCCCTTGGCTTTCAGGGTGAGCTTTAAAAATCTGTGTTGGGGGCGTGCCGCCATGAAAAAGACTGAATCAGTCTGGAACAATGTCCAAGATAAAGCGTACATGAAACAAAATATATATTCGCAGCCTGGAGAGGATGCCACCCTTGGTGTGGAAAAGGCGGGGAAGGAAGAGATTTTTATTGACTTGTGTGTGCCTGAGGAGAAAAGCTGAAACTAAGAGTTGTGATTGCTTGTCTGGGGTGACGGGGACCAAGCATGGGGCGATGGTGGGCAGGCTGAGCCACCAGGGAGACTGTGGGCTCCTCTCTCACTGAGGCTTGGAGCTACTCAAGAAGAGCTGAGCTTGCTGTCTTTCCGGATGGTTCCTGCAACCCCTTCCTGCAGTGGCATCTAACCAGAGGGATGCTCTGAGCCTGGCCCCGGGAATGAGAAGAAATCTTCCACCCCAACCGACGGCAGGGAAACCTAGCTCTTGCCTCCAGCCACACACATGAGAGTCCCCTGAGGAACCTCCCATGGCCATCCCAGGGGTCCTGATTCAGTAAGTCCGTGGCTGGACTTAGGCGTCAGCATATTTTAAAGCTCCCCAAGTGACCTGAGATGACCAGGGTTGAGAGCCGCTGGTCTTGAGACAGAAACACTTGACTTGGGATCAGATGGTCTGGCCGTAGGTGCTGCCAGGCTAGCTGAGCCTCAGTTTCCTCACCTGTAAAATGGGGGTGATAATACCAACCTCCTAGGTTTGGGGGAGTGGCACAACTAAGGTTTGTATGTACCCTCTGCAGGCTTAGCATGCCCTGCAAATCTGGGGTATTCTCACGGGGGTCTTCTGTGCAGCCTCACCGTCACACAGGCTTCTTAAGAATCTCTCCAAATCTAAAGACCTATTAGCCGCAGTCTGGGGCCCCTCCCAGGAGCCATCTGCCTCTTTGCTGAGGTGCCAGAGTCTGTTTGGAGGGTGCCGGGGTGGTGTTAACCTACAGGGCGTGCTCCACTGACCAGGAGCGCTGGTTATTTCCAGCGAAGCTTTTTGGAGAGGATCTAGTTGCAGATGAGCCCTGAGATTTGTGAGCAGAAGAAGCTGCTGGGACGTCTGTCTCCCTCCCCCTTTCCGCCACCTGCACCCTGCCTGCAGAGGGAGGACCTGTTAGGAAGGGTCTTCCTTCGGCGCCGCGGGGTAGGGGGCGGTGTGGAGGGGACAGCTACGACTGCCTTCTTGTAGCTGCCTCCTGGGCAGGGGGTGGGGGGTGGGGGAGCTTATTTTAATTAGTGGTTTCTAAATCAGTTCAGAGAAGACCAGCACAGAGGCGTCAGGATGGCTTGGAAACACTGGCGGGAACGCCAGTGCGCTGAGAATCAGCGGTGCTGATCCTTGATCAGCTGAGCTTTAGCGAGTGTGCACGTCCTCTCTCTCCAGCCTCAGAGCTGCCCTGAGAAGCAGGAGGGGTCACCCCATTTTGAGAATGGCAAAATCGAGGCTGGGAAGGTTGAGGGACTCGGGTCAGCCTCTTTCTACTCCAGAGGGCATAGGCCTTGGGGTCAGTCCCCCAGGGTCCCAGTTCTGTGATCCTGGTCATGTGGCTTCATGACCACTCTGTGCTTCTGTCTTCTCCTGACAAGTGGGAAGAACCAGGACCAGCTATGTAATTTGCTGGGGTTGGTGCAAAATGCAATCAGGGCGCCTCATTAAAAAGTACTAACTAAAAAGATTTTCCGGCTTCCCTGGTGGCGCAGTAGTTAAGAATCCACCTGCCAGTGCAGGGGGCACGGGTTAGAGCCCTGGTCCGGGAAGATCCCACATGCCGCGGAGCAACTAAGCCTGTGCGCCACAACTACTGAGCCGTGTGCCACAACTACTGAGCACGCGAGCCACAACTAATGAAGCTCGTGTGCCTAGAGCCCGTGCTCCGCAACAAGAGAAGCCACTGCAATGAGAAGCCCGCGCACCGCAACGAAGAGCAGCCCCCGCTCGCCGCAACTAGAGAAAACTCGCGCGCAGCAACAAAGACCCAATGCAGCCAAAAATAAATTAATTAATTTAAAAAAAAAAAGATTTTCAAGGGCCCTGTGGGCTGCCCAGGTCCCTGGCTCACGAAGCCGCAGCCCCAGGGTAATAACATCAACCTCACAGGTCATTTTGAATATTATATAAGGTGACAAATATCGAGTCCTTAACAGTGCCTGGTCTACAGTAAGCCCTAGACAAAGTGACACTCACTGGGGACGTGGCAAAGGCAGAGAGCCCGAGGAGAGAAGCCACAGGATGCTGCCAGACCTGGGGCCTGAGGCATCTGGAAAAACAGGGCCAGATGGTAATCCGACCAGGCCCAGGCATGCCCCGCCAGGCAGGCCACCGGGCTGCAGGGGAACACGAAATTCCTGAAGCAGAAGACAACCCCCTGGGGCACGTCAGCCTTCCTGCAGCAGCAACATGCCAGCGCTCGGGACCCACGCAGCACACAAGGACTGCTGTTCAAACACGCTCCTGGCTCGCTCTGGGCGCACGGTTGCTGCCACGAAGATTGCCGTGCCAGCCGTGAGCTAATTCCCCCAGCTGCTGGGGGAGCCAGGTGGGCACAGCCCAGTCATTCGGCCAACACCCCATCTCATCATGACCTAGTCTGTCCACTTGGACAACTTCCAAACCCACTTCCTAGATGGGCTCTGCGGGCGGGGAAGGATGCGCTGACCCATTCTCTCACTCTCTCTGTCTCTCCGTCCCTCTCAAGGGACACTCCCTCCCTCCCTCCCTCTTGCCCTACGTTTTCCTAAGAAACTCGAAGCCACTCTCTCCCTGTGTGGATCCCCAGGCTCGGGCCTGCTCCTTCCACTACGGGGTTCTCATTTCTTCTCCATAATACGCAATCCTTCTAACACTGAGTACCAGGCCCTGTCACGGCCCCCGTGACTTTGCACAAGCTGTTCCCTCGGCCTAGAATGCCCTTCCCTCCCTTCTCTGCCTCAGTTCTCAGGGATTTTCCCCTTCAAGTTTTTCTTGACTTGCCCAAGCTGTGTGTGCCCCCGGGGATACAACGAGACCACATCGGGCAAACAATTATGTCATCCCAACATTAGCTGACGCTTACTCAGAGCAGGTCATTCCAGGCATTGTTCTAAGGGCTAATGTGCACGAACACATTTAATCCTCACAATACCCCCACGAGGCAATATTATTCTTGTCTCCATGACCCAGGTGAGCAGACTGAGGCACAGAGAGGTTGAGTAGCTTGCCCGGGGTCACAGAACTAAGTGCGAAGGTGGGATTCAGAGCCCTGCAGTCCGGCTCCAGGCTGGCTCATAACGCTGGGCTCAGCGGCCCTCTCGGGCCACAGCATTTCTACCAGGAACTTTCTGCATGGTCTCCTCTGTCGGACTCTGAGCTTCAGGAGGGCAAGGACCAGGCTCTGCACCCTGGAACCCCCAGCCCTTAGGGCCAAGCTGCTCTCTTTAAATGTTTGTGAATGAACAAGCAAAGAGCACGGACGCCTCTCCCCCCGCATCTGGATGGGCTCAGAGAAGCAGAGGGGATCTGGGCTACCCCACCTGTCCTCGCGAGACCTGCCCTGACCTCGGGCGCCTGGACACAGGCTGTCAGGCCCAGCATCGTGAGGTGAGGGGACTCCTGCCCAGTGTCCCCTCCCTCCCCTGGAAAGAGCATTTCTGTTTCCTGGAAGGAAGTCACAGCTCTCGCCTCAGGGTGGCCACATGACTCAAACTGGCCCATCAGAGCCCCCCTGGGTGGCTGTGTCAGAACCACCCAGAAGCTGGCCGTGGCCCCGCTGCTCACCACAGGGAGAGGGTCTGCCTAGCAAACGAAGTCAAGCAGATGAGATAGCTTGAGGCCCTCAAGTGGGCCCTGTGGGAAGCAGTTCCACCTGACCTTGATTATAGAGCCTTGATATATCCTCCTACTTTGAAGCGGGTTCCTGACACTTGGAACCAACATAAGCGTGTGTTGGACAAAGGACATAAAATGACTCAGGGGATGTTTGCTGACAGCTGAGCATGAGGCTTGAGCTTGGCCAATCAGTTGCTCAGGCATTCTGAGTCTGGGGCATGTGAGGCCAAGACGGAGGGACGTTGAACCTTGGAGGAAGATGTCAAGTGCAGGGGATGTGGCATCATCTTAGCCAAACCATCCTTACTGAAGGACTGTGGGAGGGTAATGTTGTAATATAATAAGAAATATGTATTTGGTCTCCATCCCTGGTTCCTGACACAGAGCTCCTAAAACTCTTGTAATTTTCTACATGATGAAAGCAATAAGAGTATTTTTTGTTAGAATATCTCAGTTTTGTTCCCACTTCTTGAAACAGCTCCAGGGCATTCAGGTGCAAAGAGGGTCACCTGTTATTAATAAGAAGCCCCCTTCTACTACACCTGAGTTTATGTTAATGAGGTGACTGTTGGAAACCACTCAGGATGGGGGCTGGTTGCCAGGGGAACAAACCCGTGGTGAGAGGGTTGGAACTTTCAGCCCCATCCCTGACCTCTGGGGAGGAGAGAGGGGCTGGAGGTTGACCTAATCACCAACCACCAATGATTTAATCAATCATGCCTATGCAATGAGGCCTCCATAAAACCCCAGCTGAAGGGGTTCTGAGAGCTCCCAGGTTGGTGAGCACGCCGAGGTGCTGGGGGGATGGCACACCTGGAGGGGGCATGGGAGCTCTGCACCCCTCCCCCTATGGACCTCTTCACTTGGATGGTAAATACAAGTACTAAATGCTTCCCTGAGTTTTGTGAGCTATTTAAGCAGATGACTGAATCTGAGGAAGGGGTTGTGGGCAATTCCTGGTTTACAGCCAGTTGGTCAGAAGTTCAGGTGACAACCTGGGACTTGCAATTGGTGTGTGAAGTGGGGGACAGTCTTGTGGGACTGAGCCCTTAACTTGTGGGGTCTGACGCTACCCTTCGGTGGATTGTGTCAAATTGAGTTAAATTGTAGAACGCCCAGTTGGTGTCTGCAGAGAACTGGAGGGTCGTTTGGGGTGGGAAACTCACACAATCTGGTGTCAGAAGTGTTCCGGGCGGGGGTGTTTGTGTGAATAAAAACCTAGTGCCCCGATGAGTGGGTCTCAGACAGATCACTATGGGCCCTCTCACTTCTCGGTTTTCTGAGCTGCCCCGATTCTGCCTGTTTTCTCTCTTGGGTCTCTACCTCCTGCCAATTCTATGTACACCTTACAATAACACTGCTTCCTGTTGCTTATAACCAAGAGCGCTGACTGAAATGAGCGGGAGGCAAAGCATATGACTGACAGCTAAGCAGTGTCATAAAACAACCTGAATACCAAGAGAGGCTCCCTCCCCCCATTTCCACGTGTCCCTTAGAGGGTGCCACCTCCAGCTGAGAACCGGAGAGCGGATGACCATTGTGGACTCAAAGAAGCTTTTACCAAGAGTCCATCCGCATTCATAGTTGATATGTTTCTTGTCTTTTTAAAAAAAAAAAAAAATTATTTATTTATTTTTGGCTGAATTGGGTCTTAATTGCAGCACGCGTGATTTTCGTTGCGGCGCGTGGGCTTCTCTCTAGTTGTGGCATGGGGGTTTTCTCTCCCTAGTTGTGGCGCGTGGGCTTAGTTGCCCCACGGCAGGTGGGATCTTAGTTGCCGGACCAGAGATGGAACCCGCGTCCCCTGCATTGGAAGGCGGATTCTCTACCCCTGGGCCACCGGGGAAGCCCCTCCTATGTTTCTTAATTTACGATCTACTACAGACAGTGCTTGATGAGGATGTAATAACAGTTTTCCACAGGGATAAACTGACACGTATGCTGCTCCTTCCAGCAGAAGTGCCACCCGTGGGTCCTCGTGCATAAGCTGACACGCTCTGGGTTTAGGCTTGGAGATACACGCAGCGCAGACTCTCTTGCACACGCGGGCAGGCCGGCCCTGGCCCCCAGCAGCAGAGCGGTGGGTAACACACAGGGGTTGTGGGCGGGGTTGGTAAAGGCAGGAACGGACCCTTAAGACACCCCATCCCTGCCAGACCTGCCTTGCTGAGGAAATTCAGACCCTGTGAGGGCCTCAGCCACAGCGTAGCCAATTCTTCACTGCAGAAGTGTCCCCGCAGGACACAGACCCAGCAGCGGGGCGGGGGTGTGAGGGCAGGGCCGCTGGCTCTGTGTCCCCTGCCGTGCTTGGGGCTGCCTCTGCTCATCCCCCTTCTCCCTCTGTGGGCCTCAGGCCCCTGCCTGATGAGCCGACCCATCAGTCCCCCAAAGAGAGCCGCCCTGTGGGCGTGTTACATGTGTCAGCAGGCCTAAAACGCTCATTGGACGGACTCGGGCCCAGGGCTCAGGGGCCGCCCAGCGTCTTGGGAGCAGGGGCTGCAGGAAGGGAGGGACGGCACCCACTCTGGCTTTGGCCGGGCCAGGCCTGCCTGCCAGCTCTCGGCAGGGCCACACATCCCCACCTTCTACCCACGGGCCGTGACCTGAGAGCGGGTCAGGGGCTGGCAGGGCTGAGGACAAAGGGGAACCCTGCTTCCCAGGCTGCGGGTCTGTCCTCTGGGACCGGAGCCCCTCTCCAGCGGGAGCTCTGAGACTTGGGGAGTCACCTCGCCTCACCCGTCTGGGTCTCAGCCGGCCCCTCTTTTGAAATGAGGTGTTGCAGCGTCCACCCTGCAGCCACCGCCGGGCTGAGGACAGAGTCGGGGGAAAGGGCTCCGGCATCTGCACTGCGTTTTATAAGCTTTCAGCGTGGCTCAGGCCATGGCTCACACCTGAACCTTTTTCTTTCCTTTTCTAAAGCAGCGAGTCCCTTTTTGTTCCAGGTGGGTGACAGGTCGGTAGGTCTGGGACAAGGAAGTGCAGCTGGGACGAGGCAGGCTTTTTCAGGTTTAATCATAAAACCCTGATGTTTATCTTAAACTGAGCGCACAGGGCTGGGCCTCAGGACTGACCTCCGGCGGCCGATGGAGGCTGTGAAATCCCGTCTGTGTTTTGTAGACTCAGGGAGCCCTAACGACCAGGGTTGAGAGGCTGGGGGACACAGTCCTGTGGCCCATGGTCACCAGGGTGCTTCCAGGAGCTGCCAGAGAACGTGTTTTCTCGCCTCCTCTGAGGTTGCCATGGTGACCGAAGCAGGAGGGGACACCCGCTGGTCTGGCCCTTCACAGATCATCTTTCCCAGCTCATCTTTATTCCAGGTCTTGGTCAGAGCTGGTGTTGGGAGTGCCAGAGATGGGGGGAAGACAAGATGCAGAGACAGGACCCTGGGTACAAACTGTGCGTGCATGGCGGAGGCAAACTGAGCTGGGACGGGGTGTGTGGGGGTGTGTGTGTGTTGGGGGGGGTGCTTTATTGTTGCGTGTGTGCTCTGGGATGCTAGTGAGGGAAGTGGAGTGGTACCTGGGTTCCTCCCATGCACCGGTGATGTACCCCTCAGGGGAGGGCACGCCCACAGGGGCTGCGAGCTGCCACCAGGAGAGCCCTCCGCTTTCCACTTCCTGGAAGCCACCGTTTGCTGCCTGGATCACTCCTCCTGCCACAAACCATTGTGAGACTCCAGCCATTTCCTCTAAGAGCCTGAGGCTGTGCTCCTGCCCTCATGCCTTGCGCCATCAACTGACCTCCCCCTGATCTCACGCACCCGGTCACACGTCACCTCCACGGAGACCAGCTCTGGCCAGCCCACTGAGATGTCCCTGCTTCCTTTTTCTTCATAGCTCTCCTCACTCACACAGCTAGGATGTTACGCGTTGAATGTAAGTCCCCTGAGAGCAGTGACTTTCTCTTGTTCACTGCTGTGATCCTAGCACTCAGAACAGTGCCTGGCACATAGCAGGTGCTCAATAAACTTGTTGGATGAGTGAATGAGTGATTGGATGAATGAAAGAAGGAGGACTTTCTGGGCAGTCGGTTTTATCCCTTTGTCCATCACAGGCCCTTCAGGGAACTCCCTTCTCACTGGGTCTACAGCTCTGCTTTGAGGCTCAGCTGAGGGCTGGCCAAAACGCTCCAGGATACCCCACCTTCCAGGCCATTCTCTGACTGCTTCCAGCATCGGCTTCTGTCACGTGCACGGCACCCTGGCCTGTATGACCTTGAACCATGGGAGTATCTGGCTCCCTGACCACTGTCTAGCTCCTCGATGGGAAGGGCATTCCTTTCTCTTTTGTGTCCTGAGCACAGGGCTCTGCAAACAGCAGACGTTCAATAAATGCTGAGGACGGCAGTGCTGTGAGCTAGTGAACAAATTCACACCTCCAGATGGTTTCCTGCCCAGTAGAAGACCTCCTGCAGCTTCAAGGTCAGAATGTTTCTAATGAGTCTGGGTGGGGGTCCGGGGTGGGTTTGGGACACTGGTCTCAACTTGATGTTTTGGCCTTTCCGCGTAGCCTCAGGTTTGAATTTGATGAGTCTCTGAGCCTAATTCAAACACCACCTTATTCTACAGTCCTCTATACCAGGGGTGAGAGGCCCGGTGGGCTGCAATCCTTACTCCCTCACTGCCTGCTCCAGGAGTCCCAGCACCGCTGCTAGGGAAGGGGAATGGGGCCATCGTTTTGGACAGGCCCAACCCGGGTGGGAAACAGGAGTCCCTGACCGGGGCGTCAGCTCCAGGGACCCCATGCCCACCCCCAGCCCGAGTGACTGCGGCCACTCACTTCCCCTCGGTGCTCTGCTTCTCCCCTGCCAAATGCATGGGTTGGGTGGAACGGCCTTGACACTTCCTTCCTCACCAATAAGCACAGAGCCTAGACCACGGCACCCGGTGGGGTTGTCACCTCGTCATGAAATCGCACCGGCAGGGGGCACAGGGACCCACTCACCAGTGTTCTCTCAGGCATTCCTCCCAGTGAAGTTCGGTTTGCAACGTCCTGTGCTAATGGCCACGGCTCAGCTTCTCACTCAGAGCTCCCGCGTCCACACCTGGAATCACAGGCGCAATCACAAACATTAGGAAATCACACTGCAGCCTACAAACGTTTTCCCCACTTTCGATGGCCTGGGCTGGAGCGGCCTTCCTGAGCGTTAGACCCCAGAGAAATCACAAACCAGAGACGTTTCAAGACTTGCCTGGGGTCACACAGCTCTGTTCAGGGAGCTGGCTGGGCTTAGACCCGCGTCTTTGGACTCCAAGTGCAGCTTCCATTGTCTAGAAACCTTGCTCTGTCTCTCTGGGACCTCGTGAGACAAGAGTCTATAAAAATACTTGTTAAGGCCTCTGCATAAAGTGCTCGGTCCATGCTGAATAATTGATGAACCCTGCCCCCTGCCACAGAGAACAGCGCACAGGCCTCCTGCCGCGAGGCTGGGGATAGGCGGAACTTCCCTATCGTTTTTGCCCAGTGAAAGAGGTGGCTGAGAAAACCGCCAAGAAAGAGTTGTGCGTCCCTGTGGGTCGGGAAGAGGCCCTGGCTCCCGGGAGCCACAGATCTAATTTACTGCCTCGCTGAAGGGAGCGGGGGGCCTGCCGGGTCACCCGGCGTCGCCGCTGTGTCCCTTCCAAGGCCGTGAGGCCCTGGGAAAGGGCTGCTCCACCCCGACAGGCCGGGAGAAAGGTGCCTAAGAATCGGAGGGTCCCACGGGGGGAGTGGGGGGATTAGCCATGGGAAATGCAGAGTCCGAAGCGCAGATTCTCCTCCGTGAGAACCCTGACGAGGCAGAGATGCTCAGGAGGGGTGAGGCAGCCTGTCGCCGCCCGGCCAACTGCTGCATGTGACCGCAGGACTCTTCTGGCCAAAGGCCATGGCAACGGGGATTAGGGGAGAGAAAGCAGACACAGAGTGGCCTTTAAAGCAATTTGCAGAGATCAAAGTAGAAGGCAGTTCGGGTGGGGGCTCTGGCTCTAAGAACAGGGAACATTTCACAGCTGAGCGAAACTCAGGCACCATTTCACAGCTAAAGACGCCGGGGCTATACATCCTCCCCCGTGGGGTACGTCCGCCCCACCAAAGTGTCTCCTAATTGGCATTTGTCTCAGCCCCCATCCAAGGCAGAGTTAGGACTGTCCGAGTCCACAGAATAACGGGCTCCAGCTTCAAATGTGCAGAAGCAACCAGCTCCGGCTCAAATGGGAGAGTGTTGGGACGACTGGCTTTCTGTTTTACTCTACATCAAAAGTCCCAGAGCCCAGTGGTTTGGCAAGGACTTCCTAAGAAGTTTCACTCGCTTATGTAGGGCACCTCACCTGCACAGTCTGTTTGGGCGTGCTGACCTCTCAGGGGGTTGGAGGGCCCTCAGAGTTGCCCTGTGTTTGGGCAGGGCCCGTCGTAAGGATGTGGGAGTGAGGGGCTGTTCCAGCTCTGTCTGCAGCTCATCCAAAGTGCAGCCCTGCACCCGCTCCGGGGCCCAGGGAGAACAAAAAGTAGGGTGTGTGCCCCTGCTCCCTGCTCAGGTCAGTTGAGCTGAACGTAGCTGGGCTGCTGAGCTGCCTGAGTTCACACTTCACAGAGGGCAGGAATCGGGAGCCGGACAAAGAGATGCAGCAGGTTATAGGGATGGGACAGGGCTGCGTGTTGGTGGACGTGGGTTGATAGCCCAGCCCAGACACTTACTAATTCTATGACCTTGGGATCATAGTGGAATCAACTGCAAAGCCTTGGAAGGATCCGATGAGATAGAGTGTACGTGAATTCTTAGTTATGCCTCTAACAGGACGGTCACCTCCCGCCCACGACAGCGCTTGGCTGGACCTCTCCTTGGCTGCAGAACCACTAAAGTTAGCCCACACGTTTCTGTGCATTCCAGAACGCGCAGGACATCACTCTGTTGCCTGCCCAGGACTCTGGGCTGCACGAGTGGTCTCTTCTCGTCGGCAGCTCTGATCAGACACTGCACCTCCTTGAGGACAAGGCCATTGTCCTGCTTCCTTGGTGGGATGTCGATGATTGATCTTAAAACACTTCACAGACATGAGATGTTCTGTGGTATCACCGGGTCAGCTGCAACCAGCCGCATTCAACGAGGGACACCCCAACCCCGGCTGGCATTGGCAGCCTGGTGTAGGGTCCCCTCTGCAGAGGGTGCTCTGGGAAGCGGTTGGCTGTCTTTCTTACCACTCAGCACCAGACATTTGAGAACTCGCAGGGTAAACATTAGAAGTGCATTCTCCTAGGTGAAAACAGAGGTATTCAAGACATGCGGGCCAAACGAATTTTGAGACACTCTTGACTCTTGAAGGAGCAGGGTGAAAGCATCTGGTGAGACCTAAGGGGGAGGTATGGTCGGGGCTCCTAGAGAGACAAATCGCTGTGACCTCACTGAGCCCACAGAACAGGCCGTCTGAACTCTGCTGGACCCGTTGGCAAATAAACAGTGTTCAAAAAATGTCTAGGTGTGTGGCAGAATTCAGTCTAAGGCTTATTTCCATCCGGCCTGATAGGGAGGTTTGCTCTCACCTTCCTCAAAGTTGTCAGTGTCTGCCATCAAACAAGTAAACAAACAACAACACAACAGAACCTGAGAATTTGGACCAAACTAGTAGGACAGTGTACAGTAAGGCGGTGTCCCCAGGGTGAGGCACATGGAAATGCTCACAGGACGAGGGAGGTAGTGTCACTTAACTTGATGATGGACAGGGGCGACCAGGGCCCGAAGTGGCCTCCCGCTCAAGGATCCTGATTTAGAACCTTCCTGCATAATCATCACCCTGGACCGCCTCAGCTGTCCTTCTGGGGCTGAAGTGCCTGCCTCACACTCAGGCCCTGCTGGCTTCCTGGAATGAGGAAACACAGCTCAGCCTTCAGTGGGCCCTGAGCTGTGGCCTCCGTGGAGGTCACCGTCTGGGCCCATTATGTACCTGGAAATCGGCTCTGGGCTGGGCCTTCCAGGTCAAGGGACGAGCCCTATGACAAAGGGCTCATAGGACGAGCCCTATGACAAAGTCTCTGGGAACCCATGACCAGCTCCCACATCTGGATCAGGATACCTGAGGGGAATTTCTGGCCATACTGGAGAGATGGCCTTGAAGAAGCGGGAGCTCAGTCTGTGCCCCAGGAGAAGCTGAACCCCACCCCTCCCCAGGGCTCTGCAAAGGCTGCTGGGCAGGGGCCAGGAGTGAAGCGGCCCTGATGCTAGGGAGCTCACTGCCCCCCTACCTTCCTGGATGGGTGTGCCCACAGGGAGACCAGCTGCTGTGCTCTGCGTTCCCTTCCTTAAGGAGTTTTTCATGGGCGAGCATAGCTGGGGGGGGCCGTGGCGGGTGTGACCGTCGGGTAGCATTCAGGAGGAAAGGAGCCGGGAGTGGGGCAGCGCACACTTGTAACTTCTCCTCTCCATTTCTCTGTCCTCTTGTCTCCTTCCGCTCCCACACTTCTCCAGAGACAAGCGTGGAGGGGCTGGGGGGCAGAGTGTGGAAGCACCGGGCTTTCATGCACCAGGGCAGCTGTCCTAGCCACGTAGAAGCTGACATTTGCAGTCTTCCTAACTCTTGTTGGCAACTTGACCCCCTGTGGCGGTTCAAACTCTACAGGCTGATGGCAAAGCTCCTTCTAAACCCCTTGCTCACCTCCAGATCCTTCCGGGTCTGCATGCCCACTGCCCTCCATTTAGCCCATGCTCGCCGCCTCGAGGTCTTCTTCAGAATTTGCCTTTCCTTCCTTTCTCCTCTCCCCAGTCCAAATCCCAGGGTACATGCGCATATTAAGAGCCATCCTGGTTAATCCTAGAGGGTCTCCGATTTGTGAGTGAGAACTCTGTCCCGCCTAGTCTACAAACCAGGGAGCAAGCTGTTTCCATTATCATTCATCTTCCACCTTTGCAAATAGCTCTATGCCCCGGGCAGGCAAAGAGCGATTGCTGGGGAGAGCGCAGCTCCCAGAGGGTGCTGGGAATTCCAGATGCTCCTGTAGGACTGAGGGAGTTATCCATGGGCAAAATTTACCTAAAGAAAGCCGCCTGTGTGTGTGAATGAACAGCCTGACAAGCAGTTTCTTCCTCGTCGGCCTGGGGCTCGGTGGAAGTCTCTCAGCAATAGTTAGGCACTGCCTTAATTTACTTCCCGGCCAGAGTCCATATTGGAAGGAGACCAAGCGGGTAGACACGGAGGTGGGACTGTTAATTTAGTGGAAATCCATGCATGTAATTGGGAAGACAAGACAGGAGCGAGTGCATGAGAAGTTGGGGGTCTTCAAGGGGGCAAGGAGGAAAAGGGGGGTGAGGGAGGACCCTTCTCTCTCTTCGCTTCAGGGGAGCAGGTTGAAGCCAGCCAGGTCGAATGCAGAGCCTGGCTGCTTTCCTGGCTCCACAGGGCCCTCGAGGTGCCAGGGATGTTCCCAGGTCACAGGACAAGCCCCGCCCCACAGCTCTCTTTTGGTCTGGGTCTGCCTGGTTTCTTCCCCCTCTCTGGCCTCTCTGATCAGATGTCCAAAAGCAGCCTTCCTTTGAGAGCACTGTCTTAGGAGTCAGCACTTTGGCTGAACCTCTCTGCTCTTTTCACCAGCCCCATGAGCCGCACCAAGTTACTGAATCTCTCGGAGACCCATTGGCAAAATCGGGGTATAATGTTCCCTCGAAGGGTGATTGTGAGGGTCAGATGCCCAGCGGGTGTGAAGGGTTCTCAAGCAGTGCCTGGCTGGCAAGTGCGCTCAGGAAAGAAGAGCCGTCCTCCTTATGCACTCTGAGTACAGCGTGTGGCTGCTCTGCCAGGCCCCTTAAAACTCCGCTAGCAGAAGCTCCCACCCTGCAGATGCGGTCAGGCCACCTCTGCTCTCTTGGACGTTGCCCAGCTCTCCACTCTCCATCAGCAAGACTGTCTCTGGGGCATCGGAAAGGAAGCTGCTTTAGAGCCACGCCTCCCTCGGGCACTTTGGGGATTGCCCTATTGGTGGGACCTGGGCTCATTCCACCTGGGATTCACCAGGAACCGCTGGGAGCTGGTGGAAACTTAATCTGGGAGAACGCGCCTGCGGGTTTAAGACAGTGGCCGTGATGCACCGACCTGGAAGCAACTCACCTTCCAGATCTTCTCCAGAGGGACAGGGAATGAAAAACAGCAATAAGGGATTTTTTAAAAAGCAGAACAGACAACCCGACTTGGTGCACAGAGACACCTGCCCCCTGGCCTCAGGCCACAGACCTTCCCGCCTTCTCCCAGTGACCTGGGTGCCCAGCCGCAGGGCTGACCCTCTCATTCCCAGGGGCCCTTCTGGCTGTACAGTTCCCTCTGATCGCACTGGCCTCAGCCTTTCAGAGCACCCTCGGGCCCAAGGGCCCTGGGTCACTTCTCCTGAGTTAGGGATTGCATCCTCGGGGCAGGAATAACCACATCGCTGAGCCTGACGTAGGCAGAGGGGACCAGGTGGGCTTGGAGGTGACCAGAGGTCTGGCAGTAGACCCGGAGAGACTGAGTGGGGCTCCTCCCTTTCAGACCTCAAACCTCACATCTCCACCCAGATCTTATTCCTGGAAGGGGCCAGCCAGGATATGGGAGATGGAATCCAGCCGAGCTGTCCCGCTCCCCCTGAGGGGAGCGAGCCCCCAGGAGTGAGTGAGGCAGGACCTCATCTCCTGCGGGCTGGTGTGGGGGGGGGCGGTGCCCGCTCCAGGGCGCATTGGGGTCCGTGCTACCCCAGCCCCGGACTGGGCTGCTCCCCGCCACTGCCAGCTCTGAGGACCTGCGGCGCCCCGACTGGCAAGTGCACTCCCCTGGCAGTGCCGCCGGCCACAGACACATCACCCCCAGTCCGGCCCCCAGACCCGGGAGCGTCCCCGCCCTGCTGCAAACCCACCTTCCGGGGCGCTCCGAGGCCCATTCCAGGGGTGTCACCGAGGTCCCCGCCTCCTCCTTTCGACGCGGGCTCCCCGCTCGTCCGCAGCCCAAGGCCCCCGCTTCGAGGCTGAGCCGGCTTCTGCCTCCCTTTCTCTCTTGCTCCTGGGAATTCTCAGCACTGTTCTTTTTTTAAGGGATTTTTTTTTCTTTTTTTTTTTTTTTTTTTTTGCGTTGCGTCAGTGCGGTTGCCTGGCGACGGCGGAGCTATTCCACCGCGATCCTTTCAGTCGCGATCCCCTCCAGCCTCTCATTCAAGTCTCTCCGCCCGCGGCTCCGGGGACGGGGAGGCGCCAGGCCAGAAGACGCGCGCCGGGTCCTAAAGCCCTTCCAGCGGCTCGTTCCCGGCCAGGACCCGAACCGAGCAGCTGCCCTGCCGCAAGCAGAAGCAAAGCACACGCGATGGCCAAACCCTAGACGAAACCAAACCCAAATAGGCTTTAAAAAAACAAAACAAAACGAAAACACAGAAAACCGAAACCAAGGCAGTTTTCCTCCAAGCGTGGCCACGTGGCTTCGCCACTGTCAGCAGTTTGCCTGCGTGGAGGGGCAGGAGAACCCCCTTCCAGCGGTATCGGTATAGGCTGAGAGCCTACACTCCACCCACCAGCGGCTTGAGTTCGAGCTGCCAGCAGCAAGGCCCATACTGAGTGCCTAGCACGTGTCACAACACTGTCACAGCCACTCGGTGGGGCAGATGTGGGCATCCCCAGCTTACAGATGAGGAAACTGAGGCTCAGAGAGGAGAAGTAGAAACAGACGTTCTTCCAGATCTGTCTCCCAGACCAGACGGGAGTAGCCCAGGGGGGCCTGCCCCAGACCATGTGTTTCCCTCACTAACCACAGCTTGGCCTTTAGGATCAGTTCTGATGGCAGACAGGGGACTCCAGTTCAGATGGGGGTAGGGGAGGGAGGGGGTGAGGGGGTGTTCTGCTTCCTGCTGGGACCTCTGTCCCCCAGGGCTGACTACTGGAAGTTTGCCTTACTCTTGCGGCAGCCTAGACATGGCCAAGTGCTTTTCCCAGACTCTTGGGGTTTGCAGGGTCCTTCAAAGTTATCTCATCTGCCATGCTCACAAGAGCACTGGGGGTGCAGGGCACTTGTCGTTATTTCCAGGGTAGGTGTACACACTGCAAAGTGACTTGACCCAAGGTGGCTGGCCTTGTTTTCTGTGGGACTCGGCCCCCACTGTGCCTGAGACACTTGTGCTGTCCCCTTGTCCTTCACTGCAACTCCCCATCTGGCCCCGGTCCCACTTCCTTCCTTCCCTCTTCTCTAGGACATCCGCTAAGGACTTTGTCTAAGGAGACATCCCACTAATGGGAGCACCTGGTGGTGCTAAAGCAGCAAGTGTGCTCGAACAGGGGTTTTCTGGAGAGTCACAGCGTTGACCCAACCTCTTGACTGTAGCTCCTAGATATGGATCCAATTCTTCCACTTCTTCCCGTCCCCTGTGCCACTGTCCTGGCTCACGTCAGCTCGCCCCAGCTCCAGCACCAGCCCCTTGCTCACGGCCCTGCACCCGCTCTTGGCCCCCGACCTCTTCCCCTGAGCCAGCTTTTCCTCCATAGCCAGAGCAAACGCAGAATGGAAAGCCGATCCTGGCTTCTCTCTGTTTACAGACCCCCAACAGCTCCCATCACTTCCAGGATCAAAACCCAGCATGGGGCTTCCCTGGTGGCGCAGTGGTTGAGAGTTCGCCTGCCGATGCAGGGGACACGATTCGTGCCCCGGTCCGGGAGGATCCCACATGCCATGGAGCGGCTGGGCCCGTGAGCCATGGCCGCTGAGCCTGCGCGTCCGGAGCCTGTGCTCCGCAACTGGAGAGGCCACAACAGTGAGAGGCCCGCGTACCGCAAAAAACAAAAAACAGCATGGCCACCGGGCCCGTGTGGCCTGGCTCTGCCCACCTCTTGGGCCTGGCCTAGCTTGACACTCTGCTCTCCAGACCGATGCTCTTCACACCTGCTCCTCCGGCAGGGGGCAGGCCGCACTTCTGCCTCCTGAGGGAACCTAGGTGATCCTCTCCTTCCTGGGCCAGTTGTCATTTTATCTTTATTTGTGAGGCTATTTGATTAGTATCTGTCTCCCTCCAAGGCTGTAGGCTTTGAGGGGCAGGAATTATGTCTGCAGGCAGAAGGCGTGGTCCCGCTCAGGAACTCGGCATCCTCCTGGGCTGGCTGTCCTTGGCTGAATACTCAGCGTTTGCACCACTGCTCAGCAGTGTGTTCCGGCCCCAGCATGTGGCAAATGCTGTCCTTAGTGGAGCTGTCCCACCCCATCTGGAAACGCTCTCTCCCATCTTCACCCTCCCAGCCCCTCATTCGGCATGGAGCTCCTGCTTCTTGTGAGTACGTTGTCTTCTGTCTTCACACAGACAGGCAGCCTGTCCAGGGCAGGCAGGGTCTCTGCCCCCGCTTCCCATTCTGCCTGGTACATACAGGCCTGGATCCTCATCCAGGAGAGTCAGCAAGGCAGAGACGGGAAAAAGAGGAAGTAGAGCCCGACCTCTGCTGGAACAGTCTCGCGTCTACCGCCTAACCATAGGACAGGGTCAACTGAGTTATAGTTCGCGCTCTAGCACAGGATAGCATGTAGCCATCCAAATAACATTCTCAAAACAAATTTGATGACGTAGGAAAATGCTAATGATCTCATGCTAAATAAATAAGACTGGAACATCCAATGTCAGAGTAAATAAGACATGATGAAAGCTTTAATTCTAATAATATCTAATTCTCTTATATGTGTAGAAAAAAGATTGGGAGGGTATATGCAAATATTAGCTGTGGTTTTTCTCTCGATGGTGCGATAACAGGATTTTACATTTCTTCTACAGACTTGCGTTAATTTTTTACATTTTCTGCAGGGAATAGTTTTTGTAATTAGCAATGTCAAGAGACACTATGACAAAGAGAAGATGGCCCCGTGTTTGGGGTACAGACCTGATGTCTCCTGCTCTGAATGGAGCTGTCTTTTATATGAGGTGCTGTGAGGTTGGGCTGGAGCCCAGAGCAGCCGGGCCACCTGGGAGCTCTTCCCCTCCGGTGGCCCTTTGGATCAGGGAACATTGGGCCAAGCCTGGGAGAGTACGTCTGGACTTGGTGACAGCACACTGATTCTAAAGTTGCCTTTTGGATCAATCCTAGGGATCCAAGTTAGTTTTCAAGAGGCAAGATGAGTGAGGCATCTTTTGATCCTACAGAAGTCCTGTGAAATAGGGCACTCAAGAACTATTCTCCCTACCTTACCTGTGAGGACACCAAACTTGGAGAGGTCAGGGGGCTTACTCAAAGTCACCCAGCTGGTCTGACCCCGAATCTAGAGCACTTTGTTTTGCAGCGCACTGACCCCGTAGTCCCTCCAAGCAATGGGCAGGGCAGCCTCAGTAACCACAATGCACTCGATCCACGTGCAATGGCCAGGGATGACCTCGTGAATAAGGTGACTTGTGAGCAGAGATTTGACGGAGATGAGGGAGTTGGTCAGGAGGTGAGGGGAGGAAGGGTGTTCCAGGCAGAGGGCACAGCCAATGCAGAGGCACCTTGTGGGCACAGGTGCCTACGCAGGGGTGCCTCATGCGGGAGTGCAGTGCGGGGGTGAGGGGTGGGTGACGAGAGTTGTGGGAGATGATGCCAGGGAGGTGAGAGGGCAGGGGTGCTGGCAGATCCCATGGACCTGGCAGACCATTGTAAGGACTCGCCTTTCCCCCAGGGAATGCAAAGGATGCACACCTGGGATGGGTCTCTGCTGTCTTCAGCTCCCACAGCCCAAAGTCTAAATTAGTCTTACCTGTTCCCACCAGCCTTTTTAAGCTACTCATGGACAAACTCCTTTGTCTAAGGCTCCTGTGTATCCCTCCTGGTGATGAAAATTTGGTCCCCATTCATTGGATGAGAGAAGGAAGGAAAGAAGAAATTTCTGTTTGGCTCTATTTCCGGAAGACACGGAGGGTGCTGACACCGTCCCCAATTAGAACTCGCAGTCCCTGGCCAGAGTCCTCTAGTTTCTACCATCTGCCTTTGGGAGGGACATTACCATCATGGGTCCAGCATTTTAAGAGGATCCAGGAAGTGTTTGTCATTTGGAGGCATTGATGTTGGCAAGGATAATGGCTCTTTGCTGCCCTTATCTCTCAGAAGAGGTTGACTCAGGCAGAAGCACTGAAGGGAGGTGGGGGACCAGCTTGCCATCCTGTAGGGAGCCCAGGGGGCGGTCAATGAGCATTTATGGGCGGCTCACTCTGTACCAGCCGGTGCTAAGTATCGGGTGCGGTGCCTGCCGTTTATTGGTGTAGGAAGTAATTAACAAAGAGCATCCACCTTAGAACTGGAGTTGGGCAGGTGTCAGATGCCGTCTAAGCCCAGCTGAGGAAGATGAGGGACCTGGCTAGGAGAGGCAGCGGGGAGGCCTGACAAGGAGCGTGGCAGGAGAGGAACAGCGTTTGCAAGAGTGTGTTCAGGCCAGAAGGGGCTTGACCGTGGCTGAGAGGATGCAAGAGAGGCATGATGGGCCAAGGTGAGGTCTTTGAACATGACTCTGAAGGCAGGGGGTTAAGAAGGATGAGTGTCACGGCTTTTGTGTCTTAGAAAACCTGGATGGATGACGGGACAAGACAGGAGGAAAGGAGACCAATAAAGAGATTGTTTCCATCTTACTAGTCTGGCAGGGAGTGGCTCACTGCATTTCCCAGGGGATGCTGGACCGCGGGGTGTTGGGGGAAGGGGCACAGCAGGGGATCTGTAGGCCAGCAGGCTCAGGTTGAAGCCCTAGCTCTTCTGTGACTGGCGTGCGCCTGTATGGCGTCACTCAAGTTTTAGTTATAGTTACTTCATCTGTACAATGGAACTCATTTTAGTAGTACTAGCCTTATACATGGGCAAGAGGGCCTGCCTTGGACCCCACGCTTTAGAGAGCCCTACTCTGGGTCTCCCCCGGGTAAAGGGGCCATGAGGCCAGAGAACGTGCCCACTCCAAATCCATTCCTTCCTTATTCTGTGCTCTAAGCATCCAGGATCCAGGAATTTCCTGCCCAAACGGCCAGCATCTGGGCCTGTGCAAGCCCCTTTCCTGGTCTCCGGAGTGTGGGTGAAGGTTGGACCCTCAGGATGGGGCTTCTCCTGC